CCAATAGGAGGATGATAAACAAAGAACCAAGTTGGTCCAATCTTATTTATTTTTTAATTAAAATTAATATGGTTAATAACAATAGTATAGTCAAAAGAAAAAAGATCTAATAATAGAATTTTGTTAAAACAAGAATTTTAAGCCCCAAAGAAAAGATTACAAATATCCAGTAACGGTAATTGACACATTGTAAATGATAAATCTGCTTAGCAGAAATGTAAAGCTTATAATCGAGATCATTTCGAGTGTTGGTGATCAAGTACTTTAATTGTATATCTAATTAAGGAAAACTTGGCCTCATTCTAAGCCCACGATTACCAACAAAATATTTGATCATATAATATAAATAGTCCTCGTTTTTCAACTAAACTTGAAGGCTTATACACCGATTTTCTGATCTGCAGATCGACGTGTTTGCCACAACTTACTGTTGTGGTGCTCCGATGTATGCTCCGATATTTTATATATAGTGCGGGTGCATCCATTTTGTGCAATCGATCGGCTAAAAAAAAAGACTACAGATTTAATTATAACAAAATTGTATCTACTATGATTTTTATAAAAACCGGAATTTTTGATGCCGGATGAAACACAATCTTTTGGTTCTTAACCTTTGATTGTTCAGCGGTGAGGCTTTTAGATACTTTTAGTACTTTTAGATTTTAGATACTTTTAGTACTTTTGGATTTTATATACTTTTGGTTGGTTCACGTCTCTTAACGTTCTCCATGTCGTAACGGTGTTTACAAGAAACCAAATTTTATCATAATTTTATCATATAAGAAAAAAAAAAAAAATTTAACGATTTATAATAATTTTTGGAGAATATTTAATTTGTTCAAGAAACTGTTAAGAGAATCTATTCTACCCTCTTAACTGAAAGTAGAGTTTAATAACAATGTATGTATTGATATTTCTTTTTACATTTAAAAAGACGTATTCTCACCACATACATGCATATATATACTCATATAGGTCCGTTTCACCTGAAAACGAAAAATATGAATATGGCCGACCTTCGGAATCAGGTCCTACGAAAATTCAAGCTGTTCAAGACCAAATAGACAGTACAAAGGGTGAAATTCATAGGTCACTTCTTGATATGGCCAACCGAGGAAAAAAATTGGGTGACTTGGAAGAACAAACGGGTATTTCTATTCTTTAAAATATGATGATTATGATCGATAGATTATATTTTAGACAATTCTATTTATTTCAATTCTAATTTCATTAGCAATGCTACAGGAGACTTCTAACGTTTTTAAGCTCCAAACAGCAAAAACCCGTAAGAAATTGTGGTGGAAAGACGCAAAATGGACTATTATTCTTGTGATCGTTGCACTTATCATAGTGGCTATTATTGTTGGTAATTATTTTTTTCTTAGATTAATTATGATTAAAATTTAATTAATAGACAAGATCTAACTAAATATTTATTCTTTTTATCAGTTCCAATTGTACTTAAAGTTCAAAATAAAATCTAAATATGTATGTGTATTGGAAGGGTTCACGTATATAATTTCATATTATCTTTATCAGTTAAATCTGATTTCATCATATATTCATAAATTATACATCCTTCGTTGCATCCTTCGTTTTAATAGAAATTTATGAATTATTATTATTATTATTAATTACTATTAAATATCATAGGCGCCACTACGTATTTATGTATAATAAAATGTGTTTTTTTTGTTTATATACAAGGCTATATATTAACCATCGATAATTGCTAAAACCAAAGGTTTGTACTCTCTCATCCCAGATATTTACACTGTGTATTTCATACATCTATACATATAAATAAAATTAACAAAGGGTCTATAAACAAGTAACATTTAAGTAAATTACTACACAAATACCTCGTCTCTTCGTGAATTTCTAGGCATTTTACACTACAATATTTCATCCCACAAGTTTTACAACTATAATTCGATAAGTATCCACATACTGAACAAAACTTTCTCGGTGGGTATCTAGATGGTCCTGCTAAAGCTGTGAGATATGTAGGTACATCAGGAGGGAGCTGATCAATTCTCTATATAAAAAAAAATAATGGCCTTCGATTAAAATTTATTTGTCACCCAAATTATATTAAAAATCATTCTAATTCTCAAACATAATAAATGTTCTACGATGCTGAAAAATTCAAATTTCTTCAGTAACTTTGTAAGGAACAAAGTTACCCCCATACATTAAGTTGAAAACAACAATCATTGAAATGGTTATTACCGATTCTTCGAGTAGTGCATTAAGGGTTTTTTTAACCGTTAATTGACTTAAAAGTTGCTTTTTACTCCTTGCCTTTGTTTTTCGATCTATTTAACGTAGTTAAAAATTAATAAAGATTTAGTGCAATATTAGCAATAAATTACTTACTTTGACTTGTATCAATTTCGGAAGTACGTCTTGGTTTTGTAATAGTTCCGGAAACAATTTCAAGTTCAGGTACTTCTGCATAATTATCTCGTTCAAGTTCGTTCAAATGATGTTGAATATTTCTATTCCTTATTGTTTGATCAAGAATAACTTTATGCTTCATGATTTAAAATGAATTATTTCGAACGCTAAATAATAGATTGTTTTTTTTTGTATTACTTATCTATCAAACTTATCTATATAAAGTATCACGTGAAATTATAAAAAATCGATATTCCAAAAAATTTCTCGTTAGTTTACAGCTAAAATGTGGTCCCCTAAATTATTAAATCGCCTCCCAGTAGGAAAATGTCGTTTATCTTTGATCGATAAACAGATGGCAGGTTTGTGAGACTTGACTTTGTTCTTCCTATTTACTATTAAACACGAGATTCACATATACATACGAATGTAGTTAGTGCAGCAAAAGCGATTAATATTCCAAATAATGCTACGGTAATTGAAATAAATTCCGGTTGGTCTTTAACCAAAATTTTCAGGTCCGCATGTGTTGATATAATAAATAATGAATCATAAACGGTATCCTGAGTATTAATTCATTTTTTAACAAAAATATATCTTAAAATAATGATAATAATAATAAACAAGGTTTAGGATTTCTTACACACGCTCTACTTAATAATACCAACGTTAAAAGGATAATCGCGTTAGAGAACGATAAAGATTGTGTGGAAAATCTTGGGGTATGAAAGAATAATATTTTAAAAGTAACGTTCATGTTATTAATTATTGAGATATATAGTTTTTTAATTATTTAAGCAATTAGCTGAAGAATCTTCTGGCAGATTAGAGGTTATACAAGCTGAGAATAATATTGTTTCAAGGTTTGCATCAAACAAACTTGAAGTTATCTGTACATGGTTACAAAAAGAGAAACTTGCTGATATGCAAATATATCCATGGGAGGAAGGTGATTTATTCTTTGTTTAGATTTATTTCATTCTGTAATTTTTGGATATATATATATTCATTTATTTATTTTCATTAGTTCATCCGTCGTTGGTTTCTATATTTCATCTACCGGATAAAATGAGTGGTGATTATTTATTGAACCAGATCATGCAAGATTTTTATAATCGATCTGGATTTCAGGCATACGGACGTGTTAGGACAAATTTGTTCATGCCTGCGTACTTATATGAGGTTTGTGTTTTAATGTTCTCTTACTGAACATATATAAAATCGAATTTCGATTTAAATCTAAACTATTTTTATAATTAAAAAAAAAAAAAAATTAACCATGATCTTGTAGAAAAATATGGCAATGTTAGGTGAGATCAAGCGATGTAAACAGGGTGTTATAATGGAATCCCTTGCAAATATAGATATTTTAAGGGTGATTCCAGAACGCGCATATACACCAAAAGTATTTATATAAATCTGTTTCTTTTTTTTTTTAAATAATTAAATATTTTTAATTAATATAGATGATTAATTATTTCTTGTCAGTCGATAAATGTACTATTAAGCTTGACACCGCAAGCTCAACCAAAACTTAAAGGTTACTATTTATTTTATTAATTCATTATGTTGAAAATTCATTCTTTATACACTTGCTATAATTAATTAAATTTATCCACAATAAACTATAGCTCAATTTGATGTATTTGAATATGTTCTTCGTCATGTATTGTCCAAGAAAAGTGCGCCATTATGTGATACTATAAGGTAATTTTTATTACTTTTTTTTGATTTCATTTATTTACAATATCCTTTCTTTTCTAGTAATAATAATATTTTTTCAATATTTACTTAAATAGTACTTTAGGAGCTGGTGCAGAATCTCTTATAAAGAATTTATCTTTTGATTCTCAAATCCTTGTTAAGGATATATCGGTTGAACAATTTATTGAATTGGCTCAAATTTTCGAACAATGGCCATTTAGGCCAGTTAATTTACACGCAGCATTTAATGAAAATCATAAAAGACGAAGAAGAAACTAAAAGACGCGAATAGATTATATATAATGGTTATGTTATATATATGTATATGTATTACAATTAAATTATAAAGGTTGTGGTTAACTTTTAAGTATACTGTATTATAGATTATTGGCTAATTAAGTATTATATGACAGAATGAAATTTGAGCTATAAACTAGTAAAATCCATTACGTGAGTGAAATCAGTTCTTTCATAATAAAAAACATAGCCAAATTCGAACTCCATTTTAGCAGGATCTTTGTAATGGATTTACTACAGTACCAGACAGCAAGAAATATCCAATTTTTATATATAAAATATAAAAAGTATTATAACTTTTTAAAATTATAGACCAAGTAAAAATCTATTCTAAATAAAATTGTAGTTTGAATAAAAAACAACAAATCTGTAAGAGGAATTTTTGCTAAACTAGTTTGTTTTTAAGTTATAGCGATAGTACTTTAAATTTTATATAGATTTAAAATTTTGACGTTTAATATATCGATATAAAAAAATATCTATTTGATTTATTAACCAATCAAAATTCATTATAAGAAAATTGATCAACCATAATTGATTATATGGGGGGAAGTCAATAGAAAAGAGACAAATCATTTTTAGTAAAATTTTTTTAATTTTTAAATTTAAATAATTCAACAACGATTTAATTAAATCTGCTAAAAAAATTTTTATTTTAATCTTGAAATTATATAGAGATATTTAAGCTTAAAGTCAAGAAAAATTTTACTTAGAAAAAATTTGTCACTTTTCTATTGACTCTCTCTTATATAATCTTCAAATTTGGCATTTTTAAAAAAATATTGGATGTTTCTTGCTGTTCGGTACTATAGCTTATAACAGTTTTTATCTAGTTTTACAAAAAAAAAATGTCTAATGAATGATTTATATAAATTTATTTATTTATTTTTATAATTAAATAGTTAATTAAATAAAGTATTTTGTACATTTTAGAGATGTTACTTAAATAAAGAGTAGACTTTTGTTCAGTTTTATCTTTAACTGCTATGTCCTTATAGAGTTCATTCAAACTTTAGCATTTATTTCAAAGCATATCTCTAGTATTTTAGTATATCTTTTCCTGTTCTCCAAACTCCTAATTTAAATAAACTATATAAAACTATAATTAGTTTATCAATATAACAGGTCAACCTAATATTCTTTTTTTTAGCTTGTACCAGTGGCCTGGCTGATTAGTAGCATCTTTAAGACTTCTAACCCAAAAGTTCTTACCTATTTGGGTACTTTAATATTAGTATTCATTTTTAATAATTTAACTTTTATAGTAGTACTATTAAAGATTTGTGTTATCTCTTTGCTCAGATCTTTTTGAATGTATTTCTTGTTTTTCAATTTCAACAAATTTATATAGTTATAAGTACTTATTTAGCATTTGCATTGCCTAATGCCAGTTTGCATTTTATTGTGTAACTAGTTACACAAATGCTCTATAATTTGTCAATCATATTAGTATAACCATTATTATAAGTATTTTAACTTAATTATTAAAAACAGTTGCTATAATATAAGATTACATAGATGATTATTTAAATTTTCATTATTAATAGAATTTGAATATTTAATCTAACACTTGAAAGATTAACAACTTATTTACTTTACTAAGTTGTTACATCTCTTGTACTAATAATATTATAAAAAGTTTTAGTTATATAAAGATTGCATATATAAATCTTTAATACAAAAGACAGTACTAACATTTAGTTAAGACAGTATTAATATTTTTGCATTTAACTTATAAAATACTGTTACAGAATTGTAACCTTCTTGGTACAATATAATCAAGTAACAAGATCATTTAGTACAATAATTAACTATTGCAAATATATATAGAATAGAAGTGTAGTAGTTTACTTTACTATATAGTAGCAGACAAACAGTTTGAAATAATAAGAGTATATAAATTAACTTTATTAAACAAATATGCAATAACAAGAGGTGTGGTAATCTAGTGAAGTGGTCAGGTTGTCAACCCTCCAAGTGGTAGGTTGGGTGTTCAAATCCTATCGACAGCAAAAATTTGGATAATCACCTATATAATATTTATATTACAGCAATTGTTACTAATGATTAGATTAGAATATCTGTAATAGTGGTCATACCAGCATGACTGACAGGTCATGGAGCATCCGTGTAAGTATATTGTTACACAGAGAAATGCAAACTGACAAATTGGGCAGTGCAAACACTAGATAAGTTCTTGTAGCCATATAAATTTGTTAAAATTAGGTAACAAGAAGTCCATTTGGGAAGACCTGAGTAAAAAAGTAGCTGGATCTTCGATGGCTCTACTATAAAGGCTAGCTCAGAGAAATGAATATCAAGATTATAATACCTGGTCATAGTAGCTGAATGGGCAAGAACCTCTAGGTTGGGAGTCTTAGAGGTACCACCAATCAGGCTGCTAGAATGAATCAAAAGAAAAGGATATCAGGCTGACTTGATATACCAATGAATTAATCATAGTCCTATATAAGCTATCTGAATTGGGAGTTTGATAAAAAGACAGGTGAAAAGGCAAGAGTATACTAAAGTACCAAGGTTATGCTGTAAAGTAGATGCTAGAGACTAAGTGAACTCTACAATGGCATAGCGATTTAATGGTTAGCTCTGATCACAAGTATTGGTTCTGTTATAACGATACCTAGGTCAGTTGTAAAAATGGGTACAGAAGGTTCTGGAGGATTTATCTCAAGGATAAATTAGTTCTAAGGTTAAGACGATAATCTGGGCATCTGAATATAATCTAGTAAGTTAATACAAGTTACAGATTCAGAGAGTTTAAAGTAAAACATCCAAGCAAAGATGTTAAATATAGCAATTAGTAGAGAACCTTCAGGCAGACTTCTTAAATAGGTAATATAGAAAAGTTATACATGTAGCTAATTGTACTTTCTCTTGTAGTAGTTCATTGAACCACAATACTGATAAGTGATTAATAAAAGTCAAAAGACCAAAGAGGTCACCTTAATA